TGAACGAAAGCCAATGTCAATGTCCACAAGCAAAAAAAGGTCTACCCACCCAAGTACTGCTTCGTTGATCGCAGACCATCCCATGTTGCTTTGACATGGGCGATTCTCACATGCACAAATAGCCACCTATCACCTCGCCTGCAGTAGAAGGCATTTAGTTGGCGCATGTAGATTGGTTTGTATGCTTGTTTATTGACGGAGAAATTAAAAACAAAATTCACGTAGCTATGTATTTAATAAAGCCAATCTAACCTTTACAATTCCACTTTAGATAAGATGTCATTTTACTGTGATACAAATGCACTGATTGTTATTATTCCGTTAAATATTGGGCCTATTTCTGTTCCCGTATGCTTGTTTGAATATTATAGTTCTCACAAAATTGAAATGTTGAGTTCCGTGTAAGCTTTTGTCACTCATTCTAGTTTGGTAATCTCGAATGTTTATTTACTGTTGTGCTTGTGTCGAGCGTTTCACGTTGTCAAATTCGTGTAGCACTCTTTATATGTGTATAAAACGTAATTTTTCAAACTGTGCACATAACAGAAAAATGTTTAATAACAGGCGGGGTGAATTACAACTCATGCAATAATTCACTCTTTAAAAGCAGGATAAAAATCTACATGCTCTAAACAAATCTGAGTTTTTTTCGTTTAGAAGGTTTTTTGCGATATGTATCAGCGAGAAAACATCTCTATGCACATTGCCGCTAGGCAAGTCAGCTCATAAAGTTACTCTGTTTCATCGAGTAAGATATGGGGACGCCTGTAATGATTGTAGCGGGGTTCAAGTCGGCCCATTTAGGCCGTGATTTAAGTGCAATCTCCGGGAGGAAATTCGGGACTTGTGCGTTTGCCAGCCCATCCCCATGGGAGCTGACAGACGACACTGTTTATTCAAATGGCCTAAAACCTGCACTTTTTGGTAAAGAAGAAAATGACATTCAGCTTGGCGCTTTGAAGCAAGCGGTTTTGACTTTACCGGCGTTTTCGGAAGTGGAAGTCGTGTTGCGTAATGTATCCTACTATGCATTTTATCATTCTTTTCCAATGAATGTTCAGGTTGGGTGTAATATGTCACATTCGCTGGAAAAGACAAAATATTGAAACAGTGCAATGAAGAAATCAAATAAACTTAATTTAGGAATTATAAGCAGTGGCCTGGTGCGTGGCGTAGTAATAAATCATATACAGGGACACTTCTCTCATCCTGCGAAGATTAAAACCAGCTTATGCAAGGGCATTCGACCCTCTCGATTGAATAGTAACTCTGTTTTCAAAAGTGGAAAAAACACCAAGAGAAGGGCTAATTTGTGTGTACCTATTTTGTATTTAGAAACAATGCTGGAAGAAACATTCATGTGGTTTATCTTTAAGACATCCTTAGATCTAAAAAGAAAATCGTATGTGGAAACAAAATAGAATATAAAGCAAAGCACGTTCAACTGATACAGTTTCACAAAGGGTCGAGGCACATTTTAATCAATCTGAGAGCACAGAATGAATAAAGTCAAATATTGGAAACTCTGAAGAACAGAAACTGTATTTTTCATAAAGGAAGTGATAAACGTAGTTTTGGGAAAAATCGACTAATGTTCAAAATCGTCATAAAAAAGACAGTGAAAGCAGTTTACAAAGCCTTAAGAATGAAGGTACTTTAAAAAGTCCGTTTATATCTTGAAGTATAAATAGTCCTCAACGTCCATTGCTATTGCTGTATACATGCATCTAATGTTAAAGGGGAAAGATCGTCTGCATAAATAGAAATCACGAATGTCAACAATGTTTAATTTACATTTGCTCCTTCAAAACTAGGTAGAAATATGTGTTGAAACACACGCAGCGAGCATATAATTATACTGGATGCTCGAGCTTTTGCCCTTTGGTAATGTATACCATGCCCTTAAAGGTTAGGTTAAATTTTCATGATGTGAGATGATGAAATCCCTCTCTATTGTTAGGGCGAAAATTATCAAAGACCGCGCTTGGACAAACACTTTTGTAATGATGCATCAATAAATATCGTCATACAACGACTGAAGAAGCATAAAATCTCTAACAGCTTAGTAAATGATCAAAGTCAATGGAACTAAAGACACCAACAAATCTTAAAGTTTTACGTCACAACGTGACCAGTTGATGGTTAACTTTTACAAGCCATGAGCCTATCATGGAACGATATCTGATGTAGTGATATTTCGTAGTTAGTGTCGAGTCAGCGATACGATCGTGTAGTTGAACCTGCACTTCTTCTAGTCATTGTACTTTAATCTCATGTCATGAACACATTGCTACCATCTGCACCCCGTGTAAAAAGGTCTTTACCCTTGACGATTTGCCTTCATATTTTAGTTTTTTTCACTACATTTTCATCAATTCATCTTGTTACATTTCTTGGGTTATTAATTGTAAAATTACTGTACCTTGTAGTAGTAGAACTGATTTGTACACCATGAGAACAATTTATAGAATATTCACAAAATATATATCTTATACACTAAAAGCCGCAACTGGTTTCACGTGCGATAACACTTTTTATGCTATCGTATTATCTCCCTCCAGATTATTGTTCAGGGGAATGAAAATTTCGCTAATATAGTGTGAAAAAGATACATGTACTATGAAATAAGAAGTTATTCAAGTATGCAGCGATTTTGTAGAACTCAATATATACATGGATTTTGCAGATTCATCTATAGATTGAAGATTTAGTTCCGGCCAATAGGATCTCCGTGTAAATGTCTGTAGGCAAACAAGTTCTCGATAAACTGCTTTCTCTTCTGGCTGGGATTTTGCGATGAGCTGGGGGGGGGGCTAAGTGTGCTACAGAATAGCAATTATCATTCACGTTGTCACATTTTAAACTCCAGCAATTCGCTATGCTCATTTTGCATTGTTTGAGTCCTCGCCAAGCGCCATTGACTTCATGAGCGTCCTCAGAAGGGGTAGGTGATGGGTCGAACGACCCCCCTTTTCTCATCCTCTGTAATCCTCCATTATTTTCTTTGTTTTGGAGTCCAAAGGGGATCCTAAGCCATTGAATTTCTAATCACTCTTCAGATAGTCCTGAACTTACATTGTAACTGGCAAAACTAATTGTGTTTTACTGCTTAATTAAATGTGTTAGACTAACTTGTCTACATGTAGACAAGACTCTGTTGTGTTAAAAGGGCGTTAAAAGATACTAGCCGGGGCTTGAGTTTCACACTTCGAAGTTTTTGTTCCCTTAATTTCAAAGACTCAGTGACTTGGCAGTCAAACATTTATAAGGAAGATTTACCGTTATATCCACATTTAGCAGTTTTTCCAGCGATTAAAGATAAGAATTCCTTGATGACTGACTCCACCAAATAAAAAAAATCCCATCCAGTGATGAGTGCCAGTCTGGCAAACCAGTTTGCAAAGACAATCAGTGACCTTAACTTAATAGTGTCATCTTTGAGTATGTACAGATGGTGGTTTGTACGAGAGTCACGTTATACATTCATTAATCATTACTGATGTTGCCGTTCTCTTAATTAGTCCTTGGCCAAAAGGCGTCTCTAAGGAACGAAGAAGTCACTCATCCGCGGAGGACAAAAATGTGGAGATGGCGAATCCAAAGACATCTAGACTGTACAACGGTTGCATGTAAAGATATGCACTTCCAATCCCAATCCAACCTTGGATCGAATCATATCGGATTGAATGCGGCTCAGGGGGATTTGGGTTGAATTCGGATTGATTAATGTCGGATCGTGTTCGGATTGAACGAGGTCATTGTTTCGGATAGGAACAGATTCATATTTTCACTGAGAGTGTTAATGGTGACGTATGAATTAATAAAAACAAATATGACGCGCACTAACAGTGCACAGGCAAGGAGAAAATCCACGTTTCAGAATAAATCAAAATCTCCATGACATCAATTTCCTATGAAACATATCACTGTCGTTATCCCTTCCTCCGAACTGTTAGATTGTGATGAGACACTCTGTTTTACATTTTTTTAGTTTAACTTTTCTAAGATTTAACATGTCCCAAGTTGATCATGCTGTTGATAATGAAAGCGCTGCTGCCTTCATTGTTTTTTTCTGGACACGTGCGATTTGGGTATAAGTTGCCGCGTCCGTGTGAATGGCACACAAACCTTTCTCATTAAATCCCCCGGCTGCCAGCTCCCAGAAACAAGCCTTTCTCACTAAATCTCCCGGCTACCAGCGTCCAGAAACGAGCCTTTCTCACTAAATCCCCCGGCTACCAGCTTCCAGAAACGAGCCTTTCTCACTAAATCTCCCGGCTACCAGCGTCCAGAAAGGAGCTTTTCTCAATAAATCCCCCGGCTACCAGCGTCCAGAAATGAGCCTTTCTCACTAAATCCCCCGGCTACCAGCTTCCAGAAACGAGCCTTTCTCACTTAATCCCCCGGCTACCAGCTTCCAGACGGGCATGTTGCATTGCAAGTAGTAACCAAATAAAATTCCGTCGCCGCCAGTTTGTAGTTTGTGCTTGTTGTGCATGTTGCACTGTGCCTAACTAAAGGCGTGGTGACCCCACAAGGCCGTAAAGACGAATGCTGTCGACAGTGACAGTGAAAAACCATTGAGCTCCATAAATATTTGCTATTTAAATATATATTTTTCATTCGTTTTGATTATTCAGTACATTGATTTTAGTGTAAACCCGCGTATTATCTTTTAAATGATTATACTCGTGTGTCTTAATTTGTATAGCGCGAGAACCAATGTAATTTATATTGTATAAATGTACAAATAACAGTAAACTTAATAATAACAATAAAATTGTGACCTTGGGCGAACGCGTGCGTAATGTACCATGAAGTTCTCGTGTCGGCAGTTAAACGTTGTGTGTATGTTACTACCATTCAATGTTTAACGTTTTCACATTTTTTAAAGTGCGTTATCGTGTTGTTTGTAAACTTTTATGGACGTAATCAATGATTTTAGATTAAAGATATATTTGATTGATTGAGATTGCCCTTTGATCCTTTTTTCCTTGCAGATTCTCTACAGTGATGGATTTCATTACAACAGAACCACCGAACTCCACAAACATGGATGATGACGTATGTGCCATGAACCTTGACAGTATAAATCAAAGCTTGGTGGAAGAATTCTGCAACCGTCGCGACTACTTGGCGTTAGTTACGCCTCTAAACATTTTCATGTACTGGGTTGTCTTAGCTGGGGTTGTGGGCAATATGGCTTTGTTAATTGTCATTCTTAAAAACCGACCATTGAGAACCACGCCCAATATGTTAGTTATAAGTGTCACGGTTGGAGACTTGATGTACCTTATGGTGGTCGTACCAACAAGACTCGAACACCAAGTCGCTTTCTGTTTCCCTAACAGCATTGCTTTGTGCAAGTTGTCCAGCGCCTGGCAGGTGCTAGCACAAGGGGTGTGTATTTACTCTATCGTGGCCGTCTCCTGTGAGCGTTATGGGGCCATCACCCAGCACATGGGCCGTAGCTTGTTTCGTGGCTCGGCGAAGAAAACTGGCTGTCTAATCGGCGTAGTCTGGTTACTCGCCTTCGTCCTAGCCGTCCCGGTATACACGACGGCCACATTGTACCATGGGATGTTATGCATCTACCTGCCCCACTTCGAGCCAGTTGCCAAGTGCTACGTTACCGTACAGTTGCTTTGCCATTACATCATACCCTTAGTAATTGTGACAGTGCTCTATTCGCGAATGGCCCACACTCTGATCCGCAGTGCAGATAGCTTCCGAGGTGAAAACCAACCAGGGGCTAAACAATTTCGAGCTAGAAGACGACTGGCCATCATTGTGCTTATCATTGCCATCTTCTTCGGAGTATTCTGGATGCCGTACTACGTATACAACATGTACTATCAGTACGCCCTTTGTGGGAATATTGACGAGTCGGACCAGGCATTCATAGAGCTGCGTTTTTTTGCTTCACTGATCAATTCCTGCTTTAATCCATGGATTGTCTTTATCATGAGCACCACCCACCAGAGGATGCTGATGCGATGTATTTCCTGCCGGAAAACGATCACCAGAACCACCGACCGTCGCACCAACATGACCACCCTGCGTTCCAACAGCTTCATGAGTAGCAGCAAGGCTAACTACACCGAAATCACCTCAAGTATGTGAAATGCAACACAGCTTTGAGCTTGGTTTGGTGTTACATGCTAAAGGATATCCTGCCAATTAGTCAGTATTGATAGGTCATAGATATTACACACTGTTGAGATACCAAGCAGGCGAAAACCCTAGAACATGCTTACAAAAACCAACACTAATGCAGGTACAGATAAAAGTCCAATTACCTAACAAAACTATTTAGTCTTTAGAGACTAAATGGAATTTGTGTCAAGGTGTTAGTTTTTACAAAGTGAAAGGTTTGTTTGTTTGTTTGTTTGTTTGTTTGTTTTTGTTCTGACGATTAATATGTACCACTGTGTATCTGTATGATAATGCCATTCAGTAATCTCGCAGTGCATACAGTATTTGCCTGAAAAAAAATTGGTGCATGTAAATTGATGATTTTGTACGGCATTTAAAAAGGCATCCCGAACGTACTGTATGAGCCTGTTGATTCCAGTGCAGTTGAATCACGAAGGACCGATCACCAACTTTCGAATTCATGCATTGCTGTACTCACAGAATGATGCTTGAAAAGAACTGACTCCAAAACAAACGTTAGATTCAATCTTCAAAGTCAGCGTGATTTAGTAGTAAAATTAGCTGTTTCCAAAAAGTGTTGGAAACTGTGGGCACATACAGTGGTATAGGATAACACTACATAATAAACACTTCATTTCAAGAATGTTTGTTTACAATCAAACAATAGGTTTCCTGTACAGAAATGTGTTCAAGCATAATTGGGTAATCAACCAAATTCGGCACAAGGGATTATGCACTTATGCTTGATCTTACTTTGAAGGCATGGTGGCATGGGGTACCTAATTTCAAGTGAAAAAGAAAGTTAGATGTTTTTTAAAGTTTTCGTTTTATGAGCGAACACCTTCGACGGCACCATTTTGGCAAGTATTTAGCACCACTGTAAATGCATCGGGAAAAGTTGGGAACAGAAGGACGTTTACTGTGGTTTAAAGATCTGTAGTGCTCGGTTATATCTGTGACTGCAGAACTTGAAAATGGTGTCAAAGGAAGCTGATCAAGTATCATTTTGGATGCAACAATATCTGGATTAACTTCTTTGGTACGACGAGATTCAGGCAATGTTTAGAAAGTTGAAAGACATGGGATAAATTCCAGTGAACTGTGGGGAGAATTGACTGCGGAGGACCCATACAGACATTGTTTGTGTAATTTGCTACGACCAAAGCATCTTGAGGAGTAAAGACTGGTCTATTCGCTTTGAGCGAACGTGAAAGCAAAAGTGATTTGAACATCACGAAATGTCCGAGACTTTGCAAATTCTGGGTGCAAAATTTCATATAACGTCATAAAACTGCGTTCTTGCTTGCTTTCATGCTACGTAAGAACTAGCCTCATTTAGCTACAAAAACATTGCTGGTGGGCAAATTGCATTGCGAATAAAAATAGCCTTTCAACAATGATTACTTTTTGCTGACGACTGCAGATGTTACACGTAATTTGCCGACTGTAAAAAAAATTCACATGCTGTGAATACCAAAACTTAAACGCTATATGGTTTCGGCTGTCTTTTCTCTCATTTATTGCGATCGATCACACAAAGTCACCTACTTGACAACAGACACGAAACATCCTGATCTATGTCTGGCCAGGTGCAGAGAATTTATCACTTCTGGTGATGCAGTTTGTTTCGTTTTGGGGCGTCGGTACTGTAAAATAAGTTATCCAAGGTATTGCTTGCTTCAGTTAGATCCATTTCCGAAGGAGGAAACTCAACGTCTGGTCTCTTTCATTGTAAATTGCATGACCCAATAGGAAAAGGGAGGGTTTTGTCAACATAATCCCGACTGGTGGGCGTCAAGCCTGACGAAAAACAGCCAACATAGAGTTGAATATGAGCTTGATGGTACAAGAGAACGAGAAATCAAATGCGCACTATTCTAGTCTCCCTATGAGATTTGGAAGCTTTGTGGGAAAATATCCGGAGGGATAAGTGCGGCTTAGGAGTATCATTTTTCATGAATGTTGAATCCAGATATCTGCCACGTGATACGTCCGCGCGCACCGCGCCTAATAGGTGTGTGTTATGTGCATGGTGTTGAACATAACTTGTACAGACTCAAGCCACTTCTTAAGCCATTGCCTGTTTATCCAAGGCTGATTTACTGGATTTTACAGAAATGCTTTGCAATATGCAATTAGAATCATTGAGAAGAAAAAGAGCCAACTCATGTGTTCATGTCCTTATTCATGTTGATTGCCTTTCAAATATTGATAGTTGGAACAAGCTGCCGCACCTCGTTGTCTTGTCGATAACCTATTTGGTGTGAGTTCCTTGTCTTTGAATGATTGTGACATTGTCTCGGGAGATTGTGTACGTTACAAATGAGTGATATAAACGCAAGGTTTGCAAATTTGTTTTGTGCAAGACAAGAATTTTTTCAACGCAGAAAAATATGAAAACTTACACTAGGTCTTGCACAAATTTCAGGAATTACATTTGCAAAAGTCATTACTTTTACCCTTCTCATTTTTCCCTGAACGCCGTCATTCTGTCAAGTCATAGACGATACATGTTTACCTTTATTGTATCGTCATCAGAATCTTTCAACTGGCGTGTGTCAAACGTCACTGAGACGATCTACATTTTGATCAATTGAACTGCCATTTCTCTATTGTCAGACATTTTGCCCCTTCTTAACTCGTTCGATCATGTTCGAAATAGACAGGCCTGTTATTGCATTTTTCCCTTCTCCAACGTATATAAACACGTTGCTTTCAGTGTTGTCCGACAGGTTTTGAGAACATTATAAGTTTACACGGGTGACATTTCAACCCACCACTTCTTGCTTACTAGTGCAGACGTCTGTCTTACCACTCGACTATCTACTTTGTCGGGATCAGCTCGTGATAGATGAGCTGCATTATCGAGCATGATATAAACTACGTTGGACAATATCAGAAATCGCTACAGTTATGTATTCATCAACCAATAAAAACCAGATCTCTCCGTAGGACCATGCCAGTTAACATTATGCTGTCTGCACCAAGCTGGTTTCCCGGAAACCTCAGCTCTCTCCTTACATTTCATGTGACGTTCTTTTGCATTTCAAGGTAATCCTTCAAACAGTACAGTGTTAATTTGATAATATAGTCTTGCATTAAAAGGACAAGTGGCTTTTGTGTCGAAGAAAAAAATCCACTTTGCAAAGCTTTTCGGTACCGGTTTCACGTCAAACCCCAAATACGTTTGCTGAATGGTTGGATAGTTAAAGATTCGGCGAGAAACAGTGGATATTTCCATTGCGTTCTCATTGCAATAACGACGATTAATTTTTTGTGTCTTTTGAGTCTCCTGAAGACGGACAGAGTACACTGTTCGAAACGTCGAGTTATTCCCCGGTTCTTCTCAGAACCACACATACTCAAAGAAGAGATAAATACCTGGTGTTACCGCAATCTTTACTATAAATCTAGTTTCTTTCACCATGAAAACCTTGAAGTCTTATATCTCTGATGAAGTGTTTTCTCCAGCTTGTAAGTACATTTGGAATATTTTTGTAAGGTATCGTGGGGAAATCATGGTGGCCCATCTGTTTCGTTTTGTCCTCCGTTAGTATACTATAAACATACCCAAGGAGTTGATAATTTTGCAATCGTCTGTGCTCATTACTTCGGCGACATTTTTGATATTCCCCAAATCTTTCTCAGCCTTGATATATATCTCTTAAACGCACGTTCTCCTTACACTGATGCAGCTGATGATTGACGTCAAATGCTAACGTCTTCTCCGAGTGACCCAGCTAAATTTCTCCATTCCTTCGTTAATTTTATGGTCCATGCAACACTATCTGTTACCGTGCCTTGGTATAGCTGGATAGGCAATTAGATTTAACACCGCTTTTTCGCCCTGCAGCTCTTTTCCGGTCTTGACATTTTTTAAGTTGACAACAGACAATCCCTGTCGTTATTCAAGCATGTGTTTTTATGTCAAGATGGCCGCTGATGACGTCCAGCGGTGTAAGTCAAATTGCAGATGTGAAATCTTCTATCATTAATCTTCAGTATTAATTGCAACCCAGTGTCTCTCTGAAAGTCTATTGACCAATGTGGCTGGAGCAAAGTCAAATGCACGTCACTTCAAACAGACCAACAAAATTGAAAACAAAATATCTGAAACAAATAGCGAGAAGCGCGTAAACTTTCAAAGCAAACCAAAACAACGAAAGGACAAGAATGGATGTCATCCAGCAAAACACAAGAGAAGAATTTAACAGAAATAACAGGCAAAACAACCGGAAACCGGACATCAAGATTCTAATCAATGTTTTCCATCATCAGTGTCTTATGGAGACTAAACATCTGTCAATGAGTATCTTGTCACTGTCGCCATAATGCCACGTCGAACCGTACAAGCACATCACACAAGAAGCCGTTCGAGTTAATAAACAATTTACAGTATCTAACTTCTCATCTATTCAAAGCTAAAGATAGATATGAGGAAATCACAGCTATTTCCCAGCAATACAAGACGAGCATTGCTCATTTATTACCGCTTGACGTTGAAGAGTGCTATCAGTTGACAATAAATGCGTCTTACTGACGCGATTTTGTCCTCTGTGATTAAAAGCGAGGGGTAAAAGCATTGTTGGTTGACCGGTGACTGACTTGGTTTATCGGCACGTCCAAGCGACTCGGAACGCTGCCGCCCCAAAATCTTTACGCAAGTCAGTGGACACATACGCCCTGGTCTCCAAGCTAGCAAGCTACCAAGGAATGGAAAGTGTTGCTTCGGATACAGATATGTGTCTTTGTCTTAACTACGCAAAATTGAAATTGTAATGAAACTAAAGTCATTCTAGTGCTGCATAAACTCCTGAAGAAGTCTATACATGCTGGTGTGCAATAAAGTCTAAACAGGATTATTTTTAATGTAGGGTGAAGCATTGTTTGGACATCTTGCATTCATCACAGTCCCTGTATACCAAACAATCAAGCATAACAACAAACGGGGATAATTAAGCTATCAAAACTATTTCCACTGCGAAATTGTCCTTTAGTTCTTTCCAATATTATCGCACAACTTAATTTACCTACAAAAATAGCGGGCTCTACATTAAAAAGATTCTTTCGTGACGTATGGAAGGCTTTTGCAAGATGTATTTCAAGTGTTTATCAATAACACGTTGGGTAAGGGCAAAACCCGTTATATAAATTAGAATGAAAGGCTTGCCAAGCACTCCAAATGATACGAGACTCGAGCTTTCTTGTGAAATGTGTGACGTGAAATGTGTGACGTCAGCGGTGCCGTCGGCTTTTACGGAAACTTACCTTACTTTCCAGTGAAACTTGGATGCAAAACAAACGAAGCCTTGACAAGTTAGTTATTGAAATAACAGCCTTCGTTGCAAGTCTGGTACCCTGGGGGTAATACGGCGCAACCGAAAAATACACACAAACACATGCTCCTGGAAACTTGGTAGATTTGCCTGTAGCAAGTCCCCGTGCTCGAGCTAGAGCAGCTGCAGTCAGAGCAATCCCTTTGCCGTGTAGTTCAACCAACCATGGGGGAGTTGTAATCCCTACCATGTAAAGATAGATCTAGACGGGAGAAACTCGACCTTTGACAAAAACAACAAGAGGGACATCTAGACATAAGTGAGGAGGGAAAACTAGTTTGTATTAAATAACATAAGATGGGTTATGTTTCCCTATGACATCGAGGGTACATGTTCAACTTCATTCGTAACAACCTTGTCCCCGGGGCTAGTTTTTTCATTTCCGCAGTGTTGCTGCCCCGCCAGGTGTACGGGTGTTCGTGCGAGATAAACCCTCTTCATTGTCTTCATCTCTAGCTTCGCCAAACTCTTTCGGCAATTTTAGATGGGGAACTTGGCTACACATTTATTAACTTCGATCGCTCCAGTATCAAGTCTGAGTTTACAAGGACCGTTGCCATAACCTTTTCAATATCTCGGTCAGACAAAACCCAATCTAGGCTAAGATGAACGGGCTTGTAAACTCATAACAGATGAACACTAAAATGATTTAAATGAACTGTCTTCACTTAAATCTACTACAAATGAATAAACACAGTTGAGAATGTCTCACTTTCATATTGTACATTCAGTGTTGAAGGAGGTGCGACTACACGGTTTCAAAAGATAAAAGTCTTCGTTTGGTTCGTTTGTTTGCGGTTTTTTACGCCGTACCTTTTCAATTCAACAGAACAAATGAGAAGCTTGGGCCCTCTTCAAATCAAGGGTAAATCCAGAACCATTTGGGGGGGGCTTTTGGGGCCAAACAATGTTACATTTCTTATTTAACCTTTGGTGGCCATTCTGAGGGTTGAGGTTGTATTTTTGGGGCTCTTAACGCACTTTGGGAAGGGAAAGTGATGAAATAGGCCTAATAATCGCCTTGTCAAACTTGGGGCTCTTTGGGGGTCACTGCCCTCGTCGCCCCCTCCCCCATCCACCTTTGTTTGCTATAGTGACTGACTTTTGTAAAAGATATTTGACAAAAATGTGGAGATTATGCTCATCAAGTGCCCTGTAAGGAAACGAGTTTTTCTGTTAAATTACAATTGTTTGAAATTAAAAGGACTGCCATATAAGTGCTAGTCTGTTTCTAAAGAACATAAAAAACCAAAAAACTATATTACTGGAAAAAATTATTGCGGAGTAACGGTGGATAATACAGTATATCAATTAGCCAAAACAAGGCAATCAGTTTTTTATCTTTAGATGCTACGAAGGCGGACTAATATTGCCCACATCACGCGGTTGCCTACTGATATATTCCTTCAAGGTATATGAATATATTTTGCCCATGATGTTTGTTCAACTGTCCATCGCACGAAGGTCCTGGAAAATTTGCTTAGGAGAAGCAAATTTGCATAGGAGATAAATTACTCATTACAAAGAATCTTTCGTCAATGTCAGCATTCAAAATGTTCAGCATCTGTCGAAATTGGTGGTTTGACTTGGCTGTTTAAAAATCGTGGACGTGTTGTGCAACGGCTGAAGAGCTGGCTGATTTGTCAAGGAACAAAAATGTACTCTGAAATATATTTTGGTCGTGCGTTATGTGATAAATAATAAATTGGGATTAAACGTCGGCATACATTTTAGAGGGCTTAATTTGTGGCTTTGGTCTGTTAGAGACTTGGCTGCGCCATATCTGTTTCATACTCTGATCGTCACATGTGACTATATCTTAAAGTGAAAGACACTGAAACTTACGTATTTTAGTGAGAGATTTCTAGCTCCTATTTCAGAGATACTGTGTTAGTATCAATAACCATTTGCAGCGATTTCCTTTCATATCGGCACATAAATTCATGCTCATGAATTTATGTGCAAACGGCACAGTAAAGAATGGTATAACATAAGTGAGAAAAACAGGAAAAATGACAAGGAAAATGCAAGAAGCTTTCATATCTACATGTCAAAATAGAGAAAGTTCACTGTAAAATAATACCTTGGTACTCTCGGAAAAGGAACTTTGTTTTATAGTATCCTTGTTACATTATGCAGTATTTAATATACCACAGAGTAAAAATCCATTTGATTGCTCACTTAAAAAATACACTTTACACTTTATTACGTACAAAAATATACTCGAGTAAAATCACAATAAAGAGCATTCAAATCATTCAGTTCTCCTAAACAACGAACAACCGCAAACATTTAAATGTTTACAATTTCCAGTGAGATCTGCACCTGCTGTCTCTCTAATAATTGTTGCTGCAGATTTAAAATTCCCATTAACTTAAGATATCTTACAGCTGTGTTAAAACAAAGAAAGACGCATCCTCTTTGTTCGCCCCCAAGTGATCTGTATTTTTGTTTTGTTATCCGAAAAAAGTGCATTTACAATATGAGAGTCATCTGTAGCTATTTCACAAGCTCGCTGAAGAGTTCGCTGCCTATAGATCTCGATTGGATTCTTTCTAACACCGGTTATCCTGGAAGCAGTACCAACTACAGGAGCCAGTTTATTTTTCAGGTGCACATTAGTGTTACCGTACTAGATGGTGGCAGACAATGTAAGAACGCTTTCAATTACTGTGCGATAAAACAAAATGAGAATGTCATTACTTAACCCAAGACTTCTTAAACAGCAAAGAAAATACAACCACTGGTGAGCCTTCCTGACACAAAAGTTCACATGTTCATATCCCGTCCCAAAGAATTTAATATAAAAACACTAAGAAATTTGAACACAAACGTACTTTTCACCTCTTCCCCCTTGTTGCAAAGAGGCAAGACATCGTGATTCCCAGACCTGAAATCACTTATCACTTCTGTTGTCTTGGCTACATTTTTAGCTCAAGAACACCATTTAACTCGACTTGCTTGCTGACCCTCATCACGACGTACAATTAGTCCTGTAACCGTTGTATCGTCGGCAGATTTGGTAATACGTAAACAACGAATAAAGTGAAGGTGAAAGAACACAACCCTGTGAGAAACAATGCTTTTGAGCGTTTCTTACCAATACGGACAACTTGTGATCGATCAGTTCAAAAAATACTCCTATCGGTATCAGCATAAAAATAAGTTAAGATGGTAGAATAGTATTCAAAGCTGAGCTACAATCAACAAAGAGTAATCTGGCACGGATTGCCTCTGGTTCATGATGAAAACACTTATTCAAGTGCTCTGGACATCCAGGGTTGTCTGTGACTAATGTTGATTTGTTTTTGTATGGAATTACCTTCCACATTCTGTTCTACACCTCCTTAGAGTTGCAGGAAAGGAATTGCAACTCTAACTTCTCTTTGTACGTGTTTTTGCGGCTCTATTGGCCTTACGTACTTGGTATTTGGAGTTCTTGTACGCTCCCTCATCCTGCTGCAGCCATACCTCATCTTCAAACCATCGGTTATCGTTACAATAAGTTTGAACTGTTTTCCTGGGGATACATATTTCCTCACCGAATGTTATATATTTTTTTATATTTTCTTTTTTCGGTTTAGGGATTATCAAAACAGGTTTACCTTAATATTGGAAAACACAATCCATCCACCTTTTCAATTACAATTGTAGTTTTTAGATATGTATATGAATTTTATTCTGGTAAATAGAAGAGAGTAAACGCTGGAAGTGAACTTTCACTTGAGTATTTTTTTATTTTAGTTTTTAGGAGTGTAATGAAGTATGCGTGAGTTGATTTTGTCATTTCCGATTTTCCTGGCTTGAAGATATGTTTCCCTTCATTGCAAAAGTTCGAAGGTCCAACAACATTGATAAGGTCGATACCTGAAGCAGTGCTATGTTACAGTGTTGTATGAAAAAAAATCATATTTTGGGCACTTTTGGCGTAAAAAGGCCTAGGGCGTATAAGAGTTTGGTATATAAAAAAACGCAGCTGTTTTCCAAAGGTTCGCACATTAAAGAATATGTAAAAAGAATTCACAAGCTTAGTGAGTTGGAACTCGACACCTCGACCACAGCGTAAAGTGGTTGTTCTGATGCTGAGTGGAGTTACGCGTGTTTGGTATAGTTCAGAGTATTGTGATGGAGAGCAATGTAAGTACGGTGTCCAGTGAGATTTGGTGTTTGCCCGTGTTTTGAAATGGACTTGCTAAGCCAGAATTCATTGCTCGGTTGCAAAATGATCCCTTATGTTGGGGACTGTATCAGCAGAAACACATCAGAGAAAGCTTATCAACTTCGTAGCTTCTGTTTGGTGGAGGAAAACACAATCGGTTAGCACATTAATGTTTGCGTTAAAGCAAATTTTTTCATTCACTAAGCAGGTAGCGTCGTGGAATTGGATTCAGTTTGAATAGCGTGATCATCTATAGACCTTATGCATGGCGGCCATATTCGAGGCGTAATTTTTCATTGGAATTCAGTTAAAATGAACAAAACAGTCTGTTAACGGAACACGGTTAGCAAAATCTGGTCTGGCGTGATTGCAATGATGTGATTGGTGCTTGATGTGTGGTGGCGGTCTTCAGACAAAGTGCAGTGACTTGAGAGAGTTGTGTGTGGTGCAGTTTGTCAAGTGTATCTGTCGTGTGATGGTTGTGAAGATGAGGTGGAGCGTGGTGAAAGTTTTCATGCTTTTAACATGCAACGTGGAAGCGGTGTTAGGAGAGATTTATAATAAGGTGTTACTTCATCAGGGTATATCTACATCACCTGATGCAGTGGTTGTGATGAAATGCTGTGGTATTAACATGCTTTGTAGTCATTTATTGCTGCACTAACAATTATCAATAAGGAAATAAGAAACTTATTATCAAACCCTGTCCTTGTTGGTCATAAGCCGTGGTAATGAATGGGCAGTGACCATAAAATGCTGTAAATATAAAACTACTTGAAGTATTGCTGTCATTACTATTACAATCATTATCGTTAAACTTGTCATTCTAAGGTAAACAGGATTTATTTATGATCATTCTAAGGTAAACAGGATTTATTTATGATCCATTTGATATATTTCGAGGGTATGTTTTAGCTGGCCTCCTCTGGCCTCGGTTTATGTTTTACAGGTTAATGAGAAATCTTGATTTTTGTAGAAGCGCTGTATCTGAGACATAAAAAACATATTACAATAAAAGGTTTTGTAGGAATTTAGCTAATTCAAGCTTGTAATTAGGTATTCA